GTTGATAAGTCAAAATAAATTAATAAAATATGCAAAAAAAATTAAGAGACTGGATTAGTTTTTCTCTGGGGTCCAACACAGCTCTCTGATACTATGAATTCCAACTCTGAAAAAACAAAATGGCTTTTATTCACGAAGAAATGACCCTTGTGGTTAGAAGAAAATGCAAAAAAAGTTAATATTTATTGATGTTCTCTTATTGACAGATATTGACAGATATTGACAAAGTCTAAGAATTTCACCTTGCCATTTGGTATCTTCCCCTCAACATGCCCTGTATGTCAGTCTCTGCTTCCTCACAATTGTATTGTTCCCAGCATGGACCTCCTTTTTGTATGCTTGATCCAATCTGGTCACTTTACATATCTTTGTTCTCTTTAATGACACTTCTTTTTATAAGCACCTTGAGAACTATGAAGTTAATATCTTAAAAATATGGTTCTCCTTTCTTTGATGGAGAAAACTGTTAAAAGAGATGTATTTTTTTTCCTATTTTTCTTTTCTTTGTCATTTTCTTTCCATTTATGTTTGAATCCTTTGGAAATGACTTTGCCTATTTGGCTATCTTGTCATTCTTCCTTTAAATCAATTTTCTCTCCATTGCTTATCTCCACTTTATTAGGCAATACTACTTATAATTATTCATCATTCTATAGGAAATTTATATTCTACCATGCTACTGATTTTGGTAGTCATCTTTGCTTGAGAAATATGTCAAGTATTTGTTGACTAACATACTTTCTGGACTCTTTTCGTGTCCACCTTGTGACAAGTAATTTAAATTTATTAAACTTTCAGATGAAAATAGCATATTCAATATTGATACTAATTACCTTCTATATTTCTCTTTTTAAAATTTTAAATCATTTGCTTAAATAATTCAGAACACAAAATACTCCCAATACATTGAATAAATAATTTTTTAAGATAATATGATTATAAGGGGCAGCTAGGTGGTACAATGGATAGAACTCTGGCCTTGGGATAAGAAGGACCTGAGTTCAAATCCAGTGTCAGACACATGATGCTTACTAGCTGTGTGACCCTGGGCAAGTCACTTAAACCCAATTGCCTCATCAAAAAGCACACACACAAAAAAGATTATATGATTACAGACACTTACAGACATTTTCTTTAAATTTAGTCTGTGCAAACTAAAACATTGTTTTGATTATAAAATGTAACCTAAAATCTTCCCCTAAATCTCAGAAATTTCTATTCCAATTATATCTGCCTTGGTAATCTCAACATCAGAAATTTAAGAGGTTCAGAACAAGCTGTAGCTATGGTACAGAGGCCAATCATTCACTCTGTTTTCCCACTGTTTTCAATTGAATAGCATTTATTAAGTACATACTATATCCCTCGAACTGTGCTAAGAACCAAGGATAAAGATAAAGGCAAAAAACAATATCTGCTCTCAAGTAACTTACAGTCTGATATGCAAAAAACAATGTATAAATTGTGTACAGAATAAATTGTTGGGGTAGTCTCAAAGGGAAAGCACTAAGATAAAGAAGAATTGGGGAAAAGTTTCTTGCAGAAGGTGGGACTTTAGCTTAGTCTTGAAGGAAGACAGGGAAACTTGGAGTCAGATGAGAAAGAAAGCTCTCATGCATGGCAGACAAACAACGGAAATACCTAGAATCAAGAGATGGAGTATGATATGAGAACAGGAAGAATGCCAGTGTCACATCACCACAGAATACACTGAGGGGGGACAAGTTGTGAGAAGACTAGAAAAGCAGGGTGACAGGTTATGCAGAGCAGAAAATTATCCAGAAAAAACTCATGATTGGAGCTGGAACCAGATAAAAATGTAATTGGGAAATGTTTAACACAATAAAACATAATGTTTATTTGTGCTTTTCTATGTCAATTATGTCACTTTTAGTTATCTGTTTCTATTTGTATTTGACATCTCTGGTGTACGACTTTAAAAAAAACCAAATGTAGGATTTTATATTTGATCCTGAAGGTAATAGGAAGCCACTAGAGTTTATTGAAGTGGCGAGTAATATGGTCAGACATGCATTTTAGGAAGTTCATTTTGATAGCTAAGTGGGTTATGGATCAGAGTGTGCAGACTTGAGTCAAAGTGACAAACCAGAATTTCTTTTGTTATTGCAATAGTCCAGGCATGAGGTGACAATGACTTGTACCAGAGTGGTGGTAGTGTCAGAAAAGAGGAGACTTATATGACAGATGTCATAAAAGGACAAGATTTGTCAACAGATTGAATGTAGGGGATGAGAGTAGAGGAGTCAATGATTACACATAGGTTATGAGTCTGAATGACTGGGAGGATAATGATGATAATCTTCAACTAGCAATAAAGAAGTTAAGGAGAAGGGATGGTTGGGAGAGTGAGGATAATTAATTAGTTCAGTTTTGGACATGTTGAGTTGTCTACAAGACATAGTTTGATATGTCTAATGGGCAGTTGGATTTTCAAGTTAAAAGTTTGGGAAATAGGGTAGGGGTGAACCATTAGATCATTGTGGTTAAAATCCTAACTCCTGTGTCCAATCTAGGCCTTCTAACAGTAACTCTAGCCCCTCTGGAATTGTATTATTCTTTCAGTATTGGTTCTCAAAAACCCCATATTCTCATACTGCCAGTGCACATATTTTAAAGTGGTTTAAAATTAATTTTACTTTTAACATTTTGGAAAATACTTGAGACAAATTGTAAGATAGAAATCTACCACTAAATCACATAGCTGGATCTGGGAATCACTTTCTACAGACAGATAACTACTTCTGAGAAAGGTATTTCTGGGCCAACTGTCAAAGCCTGCAAGTCTCAGGTTAGCAAACCTGATGGGCGAACAGAGGCCGAAGGGAGAAGAGGTGAAGCTAGTGAAATAGCAGTAGTCACAAAATTTAAGATAGGATAGCTTTACCATTGGTAAAATGCATGATCAAATGACAACTTGCTGTCTGAATGCACCCTTTGATGAGCCAAAATATTGTATGGAAGAAGAATATCACATTCCAAACTGTTCTGGATAGGACACTCATAACAGAAGAGTTCTGGCCAAAGATCACAGAATTCAAAGCAGAAATGCTTGTCAGGACTGGACCATAAAAAAAAAAATAACAAATGTAGTGAGAGAATATCAATTAAAATGTATTTAATTTAATAAAATTTATTTAACATGCTTTCTCTTCTGTATATCTTAGGTGACAAAGATATTATTTCCACTAAGTGGAAAAATTGTAACACATTAATAAAGGCATGGTTTATTAATCATTATGCCCAGATTAACCTAAATCCCTTTTGGGGATAGTGTCAACAAATTAGAATGAATAGAATGTTAAAAACATATCTGGGTTAACAGCAAAGCATTTGGCAAAAACACTTATAATAACATGGTAGGCAAGCACCAACTTTTGCATGAAGCATTACCTGATTTTGTCTCTGCTACTGCAATCCTTCTCAAATCTATTTTTATACAGTTAAATTGTTTTATATCTCTTCTTATACACGTCCTTACTGTGCTAGAATACAAGTCCTTTAAGGATAAGGGCCTTTTTATTATTTTTTTAATTCCCAAAGCACATCCTTTAGTGTGTGCCTAGTATACAATCATGACCTCAAAGTCTTGGTTCATTTTTTAACTTAAATGTTTCTACTTTCCTTCTTACTATACCTTAATAATTTACTGTTGTTATTTTAATTGTCCCCCCTTTTCTTTTGGTATGCTGAGGTGAGATTCTTTGGGCTAAATCTCACAATGGCAATAGTTAAAGATGCAATAATAGAGCTTTCTCATTTTAAAATGCCATTGTAAAAGACGTATTTTTGTAAGATGTCATTTTATGCTAGATAATGACTCACTATTATGTAACCAAAATGGATTACATTTTTTTTCTTCATCTAAACAGAATTTTTTTCAGATATATTTGTAAGATTAATACTTATCATAGTTCAGTCTGTTCCTACTGGTTTCATTAAATTGAGTATTTATTGAGGCATATATCTAGAGACACAAACCTCTAATACAAAGATTGTATCCATTAGGAAGTAAATTATAGTTTGAATAGATACATGAGAAAGTTTTTTTTTTCCTTATCATTTTCCTGCTATGGATTTTACTTGGGTTTTTCTTCCTTGCTTTCATTTTGAAAAATGTGGACATTCTTAGTGATAGGCATTTTTTCTGTCATTACCACCCAAGTTATCCAATAACCCCAATTAAAATTTGGATCGAAATTTAAAAAGAGAGATTAAAAATTCTTATTATTTAGTATATAGACTTTGATCTAGCAAAATGAAGGATCAAATTAACCATTTATCAAATTAAGAATACTGTCAGGCCTCTGCAAATGAAGGCTTTGATATGCACCTATTCTTCATTTCTTTCTTAGACCTCTTTCATCTAAAGTATTGAAAATTTTAATGAAGAGACATGTTACGTAAAAGACATCGCAATCCACACTTACTCCATAAGTTATAAAGAAGAGTTTTGTTGCTTTACTTAATTTATAGTTGGTGAAAAATAACTTCATAAAAACCCATAAAATTGTGCAGCCATCTTCTGACCTTTTATATGGCTCAACTCCCAAAGCAGCTATGTGGGATCATATGAAATACTCACACTGTGATCTAAGTTTACATAGAGGACCACAGAGGAAAGATACCAAAAAGATCACTTTACTCTATTAGTAGTAAAATTAGCAGATTTTTAGGGGAGAGCTCTTCTCATGTTTCCTGCACAAAATGAGAGATACCGGGAATTTTTTTTCTAAGTCTGTAGCTCATATCATCTTCAAATATCCTCCAACCCAAAAAGTTATTTTCAGGTTCAATTCTTGCTTTGTGTAAGCAGCTATTCAATTTTTATAGCTCACTGGCCCCAAAGATATACCTCTTGTAACCAGACCAAAGCAAAAATTTAATTTCAAGGGGTAAAAAAGCATTTTGTTAAAATAGAATAAATAAAAAATAAATAATATCTAAATAATAAATAATGAGGAAGAGCTCTCCATACTCACATTTTACCCTTTTCCATGAAATCCCATCCCACCATTAGGAGTGGGATTCCAACTAACCAGGGAAATACATATACCTGGATAACTCATGCTCCAAGTACTACTACCCTCTGAGTCATTTCTCTACTTGTTGTTTTCCTCCTAAGTGACTAGTATCATCTGGTCTTCTAATGTCTTTTTTTAGGGTCCATTCTGTGCTAAACTACGAGTTGTTGGAGTAAGTTGCTATGCGTTCTTTTCCACTATGTGGTCAGCTTGTTGGAATTCCACTGTTTCAACCATTATATGACTAATTCATAGCTGTTTTGTGACATAGTCCATAGACCAGAGTTATTTCAGCTCTTTTGTGTCATATCAAGAATCATAACCAACCAGTCAGTAAAAGTCTTAGATTATGTTTGCATTTCTTCAGGCCTTTCTACTCTTTGGGTTTAGTTGAAAAATATATATATTTCAACTTCCATGATGCCCTTGGAAGGTAAAACTGGGTCATTTAGTTTTGTACTCTAGCCAGACTGAAGGAACAGGGTAGAATTTGCCCTTCTGAAGTTTCATGAAAATTTCTGCCCTCTCAATACTTACAGGCATGTCTCCTCAATGTATTTATTAACTATCCAATAGACTTTTAGAAATCTGCCATATTTTGCTGCTGGATATCATATAAGTGTGTTGTATCTGTATCTACCATTGAAGAAGGCCATATTGAGTAAGAAAGATTTACTTATATTTTTAATCTCCAAAGACAAATACCAATCCCAGGTGATCAGGCTTGGTAATTGGTGTCACTTGTTATAAGTAACCTGCAACTACATTATCAATAAGGAGAGAAGCATAAAGAGCAAGACTTTGCCATTTCCTTAGATGAAATAAAAATTATTTGCCCTTGAACTATCTGTACAACAAAATGAAGCTCATTTGCTTCTAATACAAAAAGAAATCTAATAATCTAATTGCAACTTATAGATTCCACTTGATATCTTACTTTTGTTAAGTCATACAGGTTGTGAAAAGATTAGTTTCTCCTCAGGTGGTGTATACAATGAAAACCATCATGCTTACCTAAATGTTAGAGAATTAAACTGGCCCCATACCATGGCCCTTCTTCAAATCTGAACACTACAGTCACCACTGAGAGAAATTCCTTCTCCTTTGTGGAGATGGGACCTGGAAGCTGCCAGTGCATGTTTCATAGTCTCACTCCCTCAGTTTCCACAACTATTGAACATTTGGAGAAGAAAGTTATCATCTCTAGAACTCTTTCAACCATCAAATGATTCAACATTAGAAATAGATATGGTCTTATCAATGGAAGTGACATTCAAGAAGATGCATTCACCTTCTACTTTGATACTGAAACCTAAGGCCACTGTACCTTGCCATTTGACTTTCTACTGAAACCTCTTATATGTATTTTCTCTCCCTATAAGAATACAATCTTGAGGGGCAGAGCCAAGATGGCAGAATAAAAGCAGTGACTTCCTTGAGCTCTCCCCCAAACCTCCAAATACCTGTAAAAATGGCTCTAAAATTCTAGAGCAGCAGAACCGACAAAAAGACAGAATAAAACAAATTTCCAGCCCAAGGCAACCTGGAGGGTTGATTGGAAAAACCTGTTGCACAAGGCTGAAAGAGGAGCGCAGCTCAGTATGTGCTGTGCAGGCAAAGACCTTGCCTTGGTGAACCTGGAAAAGGCTTCAGGGGACTGACTCAAGGGGACCTGTGATGGTTTCCAGACTTCTCAATCCACAAATACCAAAGACAACTTAGAAAGTCAGTAGGAAAGTTCTATGACCATGGTGAGAAAGGAGCTACTCCAGCCCAGTCTTGGTACAGCCCTGTGGCAGCGGCTGCTTCTCAGACCACAGATGGAGGGGGGATTGAGTGATTGATCAGATGGGGGACTGCAGGAATCTCTTTGCTGGTGCTGAAGCAGGATTCTGTTGCTTTGCCTGTGCTTGGATCTGGGTCTCAGTTTTGGGTGGCAGTCCCAGGGCAAGGAGAGTGCTGGCATGGTGAAGCTTGGGGTGGTGGTAATCCTCCTCACAGTTCTAAGCCAGAAAAGAGTGCTTGTGATCACTCATAGACCAGAGCACAGGCCAGGAAAGTAGTAAATACCTTGCCCTTGATAGAAGAACAGAAAATTTACAGGTCCCTAGAAGTATCTCTGAGAACAGCTGCAAACAAAACAAAACAAAACAAAACAAAACCAAAATACACTCCTACATTAAAGAGAAGCAGGGCTTGGAATATGATATTTTGGAGGGCAAAGGAACTAGGCTTACAACCAAGAATCACCTGCCCAACAAAACTGAGTATAATCCTTTGGGGGGGAGTGGCATTCAGTGAAATAGAAGATTTTCAAGCATTCTTAATGAAAAGACCAGAGCTGAATACAAATTGACTTTCAAATACAAGACTCAAGAGAAGTATGAAAAGGTAAAAAGAAAGAAATAATAACAGACTTATTAAAGTTGGAGTATTTATACTCCTACATGGAAAGATGATATTTGTAACTCATGAGACCTTTGTCAGTATTAGGGTAGTTGGAGGGGGAAAATGTATGTATGTAGATAGATAGATAGATAGATAGATAGATAGATAGATAGATAGATAGATAGATATAGATAGACAGATAGAGGGCACAGGGTGAGTTGAAGATGAAGGGGTGATACCCAGAGAATAAAATTAAGAGGTGAGAGAGGATTATACTAGGAGAAGCAGAAAAGGAGAGGTAGAATGGAGTAAATTATCTCACATAAAACAGACAAGAAAAAGCTTTTAGAGTGGAGGGGAAGTGGGGGAAGGTGAGAGGAAAAGAGTGAATCTTACTCTCATTGGATTTGACTTAAGGAGAGAATAACATACATACTCAAATGGGTATGGAAATCTATCTTACCCTACAGCAAAATAGGGGGAAGAGGCTAAGAGAGCTGGGGTATGATAGAAGGGAGGGCAGATTGGGAGAGGGGTAATCAGAAGCAAACAATTCTGAGGAGGAACACAGTCAAAACACAGAATAGAATGAACCCGGGGGCAGGATAGGATGAAAGGAATATAATAATTTTTTTACAACATGACTATTATGGAAGTGTTTTGCATGACTAATCATGTATAACCTCTATTGAGTTGCTTGCCTTCTCAATGAGGGTGGGTGGGGAGGGAGGAAAGGAGGAAGGGAGAGAATTTGGAACCCAAAGTTTTAAAAACAAATGTTAAAAAGTGTTTTTACATAGAACTGGGAAATAAGATATATAGGCAATGGGGTATAGAAATCTATCCTCCCCTAGAGGAAAATAGAAAAGGAAGGGGTTAAGAGAAGAGGGGTTGATAAAAGGGAAAGCAGATTAGGGGAAGGGGTATTCAAAATGCATGCCGTCTTGGGGTGGGGGGAGGGGAGAGATAGGGAGAACATTTGGAACTCAAAATCTTGTGTAAGTGAATGTAGAAAACTAAAAATAAATATATTAATAAAAATTTTAAAAAGAACACAATCTCTTGGAGAGCAAGGATTGTCTTGTTTTGTTATGTAGCATGCATACCACTTTGAAAATAGTGGGTATTTAATAAATGATTTCCCATTTATTCATCCATCTGTCCATTCATTCTTTCATTATTTTGTTCATTCACTTGTCTAATGAATATTTGCACTGGACAAACATTTTGGCCCTATATTTTAGAGGTACTGGGAACCAAGATAAGCCAGATGTGGTCAAACAAAAGATGGAAAAGATTAAATATCACCTTTATTGTCAATGAACTTCAATGGATGGGAATGTGTGAATTTAATTTGTGTGGTTGCTACATACACTACTTCGGGCAAGAATCCCTGAGAAGAGGCAGAATAGCCCTTCTAGTCAATAAGAGGGTGAGAAAAGCAGTACTGGATAATATCTCAAAAATCATAGAATAATATCTATTCAAAATCCAAGCATCACAGTAATACAAGTCTGTGCTACAATCATTTATACCAAAGAGGCCAAAGTTAATCTGTTCTATGAAGAATTACAACATTTTCTAGAAATAACATGAAAAATGATGTCACGTTTATCACAGAGGATTGGAATTCTAAAGCAGGAAATCAAAAAGTAATTAGATTAACAAGAAAGTTTGTCCTTGGAGTACAAAATGAGGCAGGGCAGAGTAATGGAATTTTGTTAAGATAACTTGCTGGTCATAGCAAATACTCTTTTTCAACAACCCCAAAGGCAACTCTACACATGGATATCACCAGATGGTCAATATCAAAGTCATATACAGGCATGTATATATATTGAAGCACTATACAGTCAGTTAAAACAAAACCTGGAGCTGACCTAGAGATAATGGTCTTTTTGTTGTAAAATTCAAACTTAAAGTGAAGAAAGTAGGGAAAACCAGTAGACTATATAGGTATGGCCCAAATAACATCCTTATGAATATGAAATGGAGGTGAGAAATAGATTTAAGAGATTAAATCTAGTAGATAAGGTGCTTGAAGAGCTATGGACAGAGGTTCACAATATTACACAGGAGGCAGCAATACAAAACATTCCAAAGAAAAAGAAGAGAAAGAAGCAGAATGGCAGTCTGATGAAGCTTTACAAATAGCTGAGGAATCAAGGAAAGGGAAAGAGAAAGGAGAAAGGGAAGGATATACCCAACTGAATACAGAATTCCAGAGAATAGCAAGGAGAGATAAGGTTTTCTTCACTGTGCATTGCAAAGAAATAGAGGAAAACAATAGAATGGAAAGATAAGGGATCACTTTAAGAACATTAGATATATCCAGGGAACATTTCATTCAAAAATTGACTTGATAAAAGGGGAAAAAAATGGAAAGGAATTAAAACAATTAGAAGAATTTATGAAGAGGTGGCAAGAATGCATAGAAGAACTATACAAGAAAGATCTTAACATCACCAGTAACCACAATGGTGTGGTTACTGATCTGGAGTCAGACATCCTGGACAATGAAGTTAATTGGGCCTTAGGAAGTATTGCTAACAATAAGCCTTGCAGACTTGATGAAATTCCAGATAAACTATTCAAAACCCTAAAAAATGAGGCTGTTAAAGTGCTGTACCCA